GAAATAGAGGGGGATGGGAGGCTGGCAGGGAGCTTGTGGGGGAATGGAGGGGTGCAAGGAGCCCCTGGTTTGTACAACAAGCTCAGCTGATAAGCTATGAAATGTGTGACCCCCCTAGTGGACTTGAGCATGGGTTGTGCTGGGAGGAATGAAAATGGCAAAGTCTATTTACCGGCAGCTCTGTTGAGGGTTCAGCTTAGAGGCTGGTGATTGCCCATAGGAATTTCCAGCTCGGATCAGATCCCTGGGTCCATCTAGCCCAGTCCTCTGTCTCTGACGGTGGCTAGAACTAGATGCTGCAGAGGAAGGTGGAAGAGCCACACAGCAGGGAGCTGTTACAAAGCACAAAGATGCACGAAACTCTGCAAGTGAAATTCTCGGCGGGTCCGTGACCCAGCTCCTAGGTTCTCCCTTGACCATAGTAAATACAATTTGCAAATGTGGTTTCTGGTTCTCTTGTAAGTACTGGGAGGGAGGAATTGTGCAAGGAAAGCCAGGTAGGTGTAAAGTAACCAGCAGAGGAAATTTTAACCAGCTTACCAGGAACCATTTTTCGAATAGGAGAGGCTGGTAGGCAGTTTAATAGGTTCCCAAAGGAAAGGGAGAAATTGGAAAGCCCATTGTTTGTGTGATTTAAAATGAGATAAGATAAAGTATTCCTAGATATATTGTAAGGAACAATCCTGCACTGCTCCTGATGGCTACACTCGCAGAGCTAATAGGCAGCATGCAGTGGTGCTGGAACAATTTTTATAGTGGGGGTGCTAAAGATGGAAACCATGTATTTGAGCTGTTATTACAACGTCAAGCCCAGGGGTGCGGCAGCACCTCAGGACCCCTCATTCCAGCACCTATGGCAGCATGGTCCAGTGGATCCAACACAGGTTTGGGACTCAGGACAGCTGTGTTCTATGCCTGACTGCCAATGCGTGACCTTGGGCAAGTCACTTCATCTTTCCTGTACCTGTTTCCTCTTCTGTGGTTTGTCTATCTCAATTGTATGTTCTCAGAACTTCTGAACTGTGTCTGCCCAGCTCCTGACATGCTGGGCCTGACCTCACTTGGTGCCTCTTGGTGCACTTAGAACATTAATAAGAATATACACTACTGTGAAACAGAGCTAGGCTACTGGAAATACCATAGTATTAAGTAGCATTCCTGGGTCAGAGTCAGATAGGGACACATATGAGGTCCACGGTGTACAGAGACTACAGGTACCCATTGCAAGAGGGAGCCATGCAATCTGATGCTGAAGGGCCCTGTGTTTGCTAGGTATAGCGTTTCAAATATACGTGCATGTCCTCTGGCAGCTTCTGTTCCACGGGCACATGGAGGACATGTACCGGCTGGGAGGACATGGCTGGGGCTTTGTTTAGATGATGAGGTCACTTTGGAAAGCTAGTCAAGGAGACTTGGATAAGCTGCAATATTGCCAAAGCCAAGCATTCAAAAATAATGAATCAGGCTCACCCCCTTCCCCCAAATCATGAGACTTTTAAAAAAGATAATAATAAATGTTGGGTTCTTTTCATTTCTGTTCTGCCTTTTAAGCCTTTAGCTAGTGCTGGGTTCATGTCTTCCAGATTTTCTCTGCAACCAAGAAGGCCAGAAACATAATTTTTATACACTAAATGAAAGCTGAGATTCTCACCTGATCATATGACTCCAGGAGCTGGGACTTTTATGAAAACACCTGGGGGTGCTGCCTCAATTGCTGAGACTGGCAATGGGGGGGGGGGGGGGCTGAGAACCGACACCAAAGATGCCCTGAGGCCTGCGTGGGAAGGGGACGGTCTGCTGCTGACGGCACAGGTGCCCAGAGGCTGGCGAGTGGGGGGTGGGCCCGAGGAGCTCAAATCACAAAAGTGCGCAACACGGAAGTTGTGTTCTGAAGTGACCCTAGTGTCTGAATTTGGCACGCAGGGTCTGGTTGCAACGTGGCTATGACTCAGGATGGGGTTCCCAGATTCTCAGCTGGCGTAAATCAATCATTGAGTAAATTGAGCTATGCTCATTTATGCCAACTGAGAGTCTCAGTCTGTCTGTCTCCTGACAGAGATTATTTCTTTACAATTCTTCCTGGTTAGGCATCGGTTTTGCTCCACCCATCTCATCTGCTCTCTCCCCGCACCACTCCGGTAATGGTGCGTACACTCTGGGCACCATGTAGAATGCAACAGCGTCAGGGACCTGGGTTCTATTTAGAAGTATATGTCAATCCCCCATTTATCTGGGGACACACAAAAAAGGATCCCTTAACCAGCTGGGCAAAAGACAGAATTTTAGGATACACAATGACATGACAACTCTACCTTCTACCCACACCAGATTGACTGATAATTATTCAGATTTATAAAAGTGCAGAGGCTTGATCTCTCCATGCCCGAGTTCCCATACTGTAATATGGGGATAACAACATTTCTGTTCTCTCATACCTCATTAGAGTGTAAACCATCCAGGGGCATGGACGGTCTCTTCTTATGTGCCGCTGGTGCACTCCTGGGTGGAGCATCAGTGGCAGGATTTGAACCTGCAACCACTGGATCTCACAGCATAAGTGTCTACTGCAGGGGTGGCCCATCTGTGGCTCCGGAGACACTTGGGGCTCTTCAGAGGTTAATATGCGGCTCCTTGTCTAGGTACTGACTCGGGGGCTGGAGCTACGGGCGCCAAGTTTCCAATGTGCCGGGGGGTGCTCACTGCTCAACCCCTGGCTCTGCCACAGGCCCTGCCCCCACTCCACCCCTTCCCATGCCCTCCCCTGAGTCTGCCATGCCCTTGCTCCTCCCCCCCCACTCCCAGCCTCCTGCGTGCCATGAAACAGCTGATGGGGCGGGTGGGGAGGGAGGGGGAGGCGCTGATCAGCAGGGCTGCCGGTGGGTGGGAGGTGCTGGGAGTGAGGGGGCGGGGAAAGAGTTGATGGGGGCCAGGGGCTGCTGACGTGTTACTGTGGCTCTTTGGCAAGGTACGTTGGTAAATTCTGGCTCCTTCTCAGGCTCAGGTTGGCCATCGCTGGTCTACCGCCTGAGTACTTGTGCTAGTCAAGGCAGTAGCAGTCTCATCAATCTGCACCGGTGCCCAGCCACTACTAAAGGCAGACAGAGCGCCACACGGAGGGGCCGTGGATTGCAGCCATACAAATCAAATTTTAAAAATAGGGACCTGTCTTTCCTATGGTAGCTGCAGCACTTAGCACAAGTTGGCTGCTACCACCATGGCAATAATAAAGAACATGCACTCAGAGAAGTAAGGCGGGCTTTCTACAGATTCAACTGGGTTACGGAGGCACTTGGATCTAGCTAGGAGAGGAGAACAGCAACTCAAGGAGACTGTTTGGTATTAAAGGTCTGGGGGAAATTGGCTATGTGGGGATGGATGGATAGTCCTGAATGGGCAATTGCCACCCCTGCCAGCGTGACCTTGCACACACACTGTGTGGCGGATGCTGTTTTGAGAACAAAATGGCCGGCGCAAGCTGGCCCTGCTACAGCAGTCACCCGTCAACTGATCCGGAAAAGGACCGGGTTTTAAATCACAGAAAACAAACAGCAGTAAAATAAAAGGTTAATGACTTGATACTAGGCTGTATCTCAGGTAGTTGCCTTTACAACTTTTACAGTCTTACCTTTGGCCTAATTAAACATGACAGCTACTACCATTACCACGGTTACCCTGATGATTTGTAGACAGCCACTGTAAAGATTGCAAAGGTGGCTGCTGCGTATAAAACATAGGTGATCCCCGCACTGCATCGGGCACTTGCTGGACTCCATCTGGTATAGTGCCGGGCACTGTCTCGCAAGGAGGGACAATGTTGCTTAGAAAGAGTAGAGTCTGCTAGCACATAAAACACATAAGCCCCCATCAGGTATACTGTGTGTAGGGCCTGCCGCCATCCAGGCCCAGAGATGACAGTGTGGAAGGGAGTAGTGTGGTGGTAGGTTCTGCAGTAGGTACGGGTAAGCCGGGGCATACCCTCGACAACAGCAGGGAATCTATAGCCCGGCAATACTTTGGTTGTGCAATGCATTTGTAACCCCTTGTGTGCATGTAACTTGGCATGTCATTCCAGACCGGATGGGGATCATACTGACCTCTTGAACTGAAGCATGATTTTTATCTTAACCCAGCTCTCTGGAGCTTATCAGACTTCAGAGAGGCAAATTTGGGTTTATTTATCACCCCAACAATCCCCCATACACCAGCAGGGAGCGGCTTCCTAAATGCAGCACCTCAGATGGGTGCACCCCTCCCCTCTATTTATTCTACTATTTCTTTTGAGTTTTCTTCTGCAGCTGTTCTTTCTTTGCAAGGTAAACACAGACCCTTTCTCTGCTGTAATAATAATAACAACAATCATTAACTAATTAATACTCCATTTATCCTGAATTTCATGAAAACACCCACTTCTTGCTAAACGAAGTGTGCTTCTCGTTTTAGTCCTTCTGAGCCTTTCCCTGCAGAGAAAATTGTCTTCTGGAAACTACACATATTATGCATGTAACCATTTTCAGTTAACCATGCTTAAGGGAGTTTAGTCACCCAAAGCTTACTGAAAGCCTAAAAGTCCCTTGCAGTCTACTGAAAATGCCAACCTCTCTTTCTAGGTATGTAAAAGAAGTGGCAACAAAATCCGTTGCAGCAGGTTGTGCAACACAGCAATGAACACACACATTTTGCTCTAATACAAAACTTGTTCTCAGACTTATGCACATGTGATTGTTTTATGAGCTCCTTAGATAGATAGATAGATAGGTTAGATCGGATAAATATTTGAGACTACTACTGGACACTGTGTGCCCAAACAAGGTCTGGAAAACATGCTTTATAGTCAGAGTCTTAAGAAGCTTGATCATTTACTTTATCCAAGACAAGGTTAAGAGGTGACTTGATCACTGTCTACAAGTACCTCCATAGGCAAGAGATTTCTGATACCAGCTGGCTCTTTAATCTAGCAGACAAAGGCATAATGGGAGCCTGTGGAGGAGGCAGTGCGCAGAGCTGCCTGGCCACACCTCCGCGTAAGAGCTGGAGAGGGGACATGCTGCTGCTTCCAGGAGCTGCTTGAGGTAAGCGCTGCCTGGAGCCTGCACTCCTGACCCCCCCCTCACACCCCAACCCCCTGCCCCAGTCTTGATCCCCCTCCTGCTCTCTGAACCCCTCAATCCCTCCCTCATCCTCAGCCCCACCCGAGAGCTCTCACCCCCAGCTGGAGCCCTCATCCCCTCCCGCACCCCAACCCCTTGGTCCCAGCCCAGAGCCCCCTCCTATGTCCCAAACCCCTCATCCCCAGCCCCACCCCAGAGTCTGCACCCACCGCCCGAGCCCTCACGCCCCCCCGTGCCCCAACCCCAGCCTGGTGAAAATGAGCGAGTGAGTGAGGGTGGGGAGAGCGAGCAACGGGGGGGGGGGTGGAGTGGGTGGGGGAGGGGCCTCAGAAAAGGGGTGGGGCGGGGGTGGGGCAAGGGTGTTCGGTTTTGTGCAAGTAGAAAGTTGGCAACCCTAGTTTGTACAGCGCCTAGCATGATAGCACGATGAGGCTCGTAAGTGCTATGGTAATACAAACAAATACTATAACTAATAATATAATATTGGGTAAAGTTTTTGGTCTGTATTCTACTGGAGGTCAGACAAAATGGTCTCTTCTGGCCTTAAAAATCTGTGAAATGGTGAATCTGTGCAGTTATACAGAGATAACATACATAATTTAATTGACTAATTTGGTAACATCTAGCCCAGTTAATCTGAGACTCCGGCTGGATTAGAACTCAGGGGCCAGGTCTTTTCTGTAATCCTTAGATTGGGCCCTGTGGAGTGGACGGGTCTCTATCAGGATCTCTCTCAGCTGGACTTGCTGGGCAGGGCTCACGGGGTGAAGCCTAGCGGTTCAGTCTCAGGTGGTGGGGAGGCCATGTGGCCTGTCCTGGAGGAAGAGAGAGACCTATTGAGGTCTGGCACAGCAAAGGGCTTCCTCCCAGAGAGTTCCACAGCTGGGGCCCTGGCACCGACCCTGTGGATCCATGACCGCACCATTCCGCTCTACTTTCCCATCCACCGAGGCAGTGTTGCCTAGTGGATAGACTCCTGGACTGGGACGGGAGACCCGGGTTCTATTCCCAGCTGGGTGACCTTGGGCAAGTCACCGCCCCTATTTATGCCTCAGTTTCCCCATCTGTAAAATGGGGATAATGATACCAGTCTCGGGCAGGGGGCCCCCCCTCTGGGATAGCTGGCTGCCATGGCACAGACGCTCTGTAACTCACAGCTGGCAGCACAGGCCTGCCTCCAGAGGGGAGCCTGGCACACACCTGGCTGCCGAAACCATCTACACAGGGATTGACAGCATGCTTGTTAACCACCGGAGCTACTTGCTGTAGCAGAGCTGGCTCCAGCCTGCAGCCCCAGTCTGATCTGGGCTATTCTCAGGAGCTGACGGCTGCGCTCAGGAGGGCAAAATCCTGCTCTGTGCTCACCCTGCTGCTGTTACTCCCGTGAGCCCCCCCAGGGATATTCCTGAGGCTCTTGCCAAGCCTCCCTGTCATGGGTGTAAACACTATCCCCATGTTACACGGGGGAAACTGAGGCATGGAGTAGCCTGCCAGGAGTAGGTGGCAGAGGCAGGAATAGGAGCCAGGAGTCCTGCCTGCCCAGCCCCCTTCAATAGAATCCAGACAGCACGCCCACTGCAGGGCCGGGACTGCTGACTCAAGCCCCTGCTCTCAATGCAATGCTGGCTCCATGCAGCATATTCTCAGCTGGCTGTGCCCCTGCCTTGCCAGCTGGCGCAGAAAGAACCCCAGGGTCTCTTGTAGCATGGCCTCTAGCAGTCAGGTCTCCAAAGCCACCCAGCCCGCGGTCCCGGCACCCTGGGGCCTTGTCTGCACTAGTCCCTCTTGCCTTGATGTTTCCCAGCTGCCAGCCCTGAGGGGTAGCTGGGACAGGCAGTGCTGTGGCACCCACCAGTGCACTAACCACCACTCTGCTCTGGGCAGGGTGGGGTGACCCGGTGGTTACGCCAGCCCCCATCTGCACTCGGGGATCCCTCCAGCAGAGCCGAACTGGCAAAGGGTGTGAACAGAGTCCCGTGGGGGGTGGGGGCGGGGGCTGAGCATAGCAACCCATCCAGGCTGGGTAGGGCTAGAGGGGAATGATGGTGCCAGCTCTGGGTTCATGTCCCTGCTCTGCCACAGACTCCCTGTGTGACCTTGGGTGAGTCACCCAGCCCCTCTGGGCCTCCATCCCCCTCTGCAATGGGGTGACAGCCCTGCCCAGCCCCACGTGCATGGGGGGGGGCAGGATGCAGCAATGATAGTGCTACAGTGGTGGGGGCCAGATACTCCTCCAAGAGAGGCGCTCCCCCGTCAGCCTCAACCCATTTACCCAGAGGCTGTGGAGACCTGCCAGGCGGGTGGGTGGTGGCCGGTCCGACGTTCTGCTCCCGAGCATGGCTGAAAATCGGGCCACGTACTGAGGTGGGACAGTTGGGGTAGCATCAGGGGCTGTACGTCCCCACCCCACCCACCCCCGACTGTCTGTGCTACCCAGCGAAGAGCAGACGCAGCCCCTTGCCGAGGTGCTCCTGGGTGGGCTTGGGTTCCACTGGGGCTGCTGGAGCCGGTTTCAGAGCCGTCTGCCATGAGAGCGCAGGGCTGGTCTCCTATCGCCACCTGCTGCGCAAAGAGGGAAGTGCATGCTGATCAGGCAGGAAGCGGGGGCTGGGCCAGCCCCCCCATGATGTGGGTCTGAGATGCTGACCATTGGAGTGGTCTCTGTCCAACTGGATGCTGGGGGGCCACACAGGCTGGGACTGGGGAGCTAGAGCTTCATATGGGGTCCCAGCTCAGATGCAAGGTGGGGCATAGGGATAATGTCCTGTCGTCCCCCTCTGGGACCTTGTATCAAAGAGTCTCTGGGCCTGGTGTTGGTTAATGATAGACTAGCCAGGCCCTTCTGGTGTAGTTCCCCCCGTCCCCACACAGCATATGGAGCAGGGGGCAGTCAGGGAGCTGCCTTGTAAGGGGCATGCTCCCGTTGGTGGAGAGGCACGAGCAGAGAGCATGCTTGGGGGAGGGGGGCATTGCTATTTGCATGAGGGGCAGGTAGCCCGTCCCCGCAGGGGGCGTTGCAGTGCAGCTGGTCAGGGCAGGACCCCAGGGCACGTCCCAGCTAGCTTGGGGGGTGTCTCTTGGCTTCCCCCTGGGGTTGGGGGCTGGGCCACAGAGACGGTGGGTAGTGAAGTTTCAGGCCACCAGGGCCCATTGGATTGTGCCGTGTAAGCCAGGCCAGGAACCCTCTGCCAGAGCAGGAGGTGACGGGTTTCTCTCTCCTTTGCCCCAGGGCCCCGACAAAGCCCGTTCTCAGCTGCTGATCGTGGACCGAAGCTTCGATCTGGTGTCCCCACTGCTGCACGAGCTCACCTACCAGGCCATGGCCTACGACCTGCTCAGCATCGAGAAAGACACCTACAAGTAGGGCCTGGCTGCCAGCAGGGGGCGCCCCGCACCCCTCCTCAGGCGGGCTGGGGGGGATGTGGCCCAGGCACCTGCACTGCTCCGCAGCCCCCACGCTCGGGCGAGGGGTGCCGCAGCCTGACCCCATCTCCCCCCTGCAGGTACGAGACGACGGGTATCAGCGACTCGCAGGAGAAAGAGGCGCTGCTGGACGAAGACGACGAACTCTGGGTGCAGCTACGCCACATGCACATCGCTGACGTCTCCAAGTGAGCGCGCTCGGCCCTGCCCCCTGACGCACCCCTCCATGCCCCGCCCATCCACTGGACATACCCCCCCGTGCCCCACCCAGGGCCAGGACCCATCCCCCCCCCGGACACACCACTCCGTGCCCCACCCAATGCCAGGACACCCCTGGACACACCCCTCTGTGCCCTGCCTAGTGCCGGGTCTTGCTACTCCCCCCCCACCTTCGGCACACCTCTCCCCTCCCCACCCAATGCTGGGACCCCCTACCCCCACTTTGGCACAGCCCTCCCCTCCCCGCCCGCTGCCAGGACTCTCCCCTTGGACACACCTCTCCCACCCAGTGCCAGGACAGCCCACCCCGTTGACACACCCCTCCCCCTCTTTTCCAGTGCCGGGACTTCCCCCATCCTCCCCTTCAGACACACCCCTCCCCTTTCCTTCCCACCCAGTGCTGGAACCCCATTACCCCTTGGATACACTCCTCTCCCACCCAGTGCAGGGACACCCACCCCCCGCAACACACCCCTCTCCTGCGCAGTGCCAGGGCCCCCCCCCCCTCCCCTTCCACCCAGTGCTGGAGCTTGTCCCTCAGACATACTCCTCTCTGAGTGCTGAGACCCCCTGGACCCAGCCCCTCTCCCCAAAGGACCCCTGAGCGCTCCCTTCCAGAGCCACTGTCCACATCTACTCTCGGGGATCCCCCTGGACACTGTCTTTCCCCGAGCCCAGGGTCTCCCCATGCACCTCACAGCTCCCTTGAGTGAGTCCATCACCAACCTCTTGCTGGGCCTGCCACTGCCCCCAGACCCCCCCAGCAGGGCACCAGGAACCCCCTGAGGTGCACTGAACTCTGCCTTGGGGTAACTTAGGAAGAGGGGGTCTCCCTGCCCATCTGAGGCTCTCGAGGCAGAGAACCCTGGTGCCCGTGGGGTGGGGGCTCCATCCCCTGTAGCATAGGACATGGCACCCCCTACCTCCGAGACAGTGCCTGGCTCCGTCCTGACCCCTCTCCCTGCTGCAGGAAGGTGACGGAGCTGCTGCGCACCTTCTATGAAAGCAAGAGGCTGATCATGGACAAGGTGTGGCGGGAGTTGGGGGGAGCGACTGGGAGTCCGGGATGGGGGGACCCATCCCACTGCCACTGATGGGGAGGAGAAGCTATCCTGCTGCCCCAGGAGGGGTTGGCGGGGGCGGGGGCTGTCCCATTGCTCCCAGGGTTTGCCTGTAAAGGGCTTAGAGGTGTATGTGGAGTCCCCTGCCCCCCAGCCAGAGCTCTGGAGCTCCCCACAGTGGGGGAGGGCAGAGGCCCATGGGGTGGGGTCAGACAGAAGGATCGGGACTGCGCAGGAAAAGCTGCAGGGAGCCAACGCTGGCATCTCCCCGGTACGCTGCCGCTGTACACCTTGAGGGGCGCTCGGGTTGCGGGGCTCCTGTCTCGTTCCAGCTGGCCTGGGAAGGGCAGGTCTAACCTAAGCCGCAGCCACATGTGGCCTGAGTGACCCGCCCTGGCACAAGTGGCTGGGCTGCTGCGGCTGTCCCCAGGCGAGGCCTCTGCCCTGCAGGGGGCTCCAAGCACTGGGAGGGGCCAGGATCTCACCACCGCCTCCCTCCAGGCCAACATCGAGGACCTGTCCCAGATCCTGAAGAAGATGCTCCAGTACCACAAAGAGCTGAACAAGGTAACGGAGCTGGGGCTGTTAGTGGGCGGGGGGCAGGGCATTCAGTGGGGCTGATGGGAGGGGCAGAGTGCTCTGTGGGGCTGGTGAGGGACAGTAGGGACTCTCCTGGGGGCAGGGCACTCTGGGGCACTCCGCTTTACTGCCTGATGAGAGCTGCTGACCTGTCCGGTTGGGCAGAACCATTTTCCCCCCCAGTGCTGTGTGGCACCATGGGCAGCAGCCTGCCTGTCAGTGCCCAGAGCTGCCACGTTTGCCCCACCAATGGCAGCCCTTGGGTAATGCCCGTGCCCTGCAGCTGCAGCTCTCGGGAGAGGGCCTTGGTGGGCTTGCAAACCAGCCCGTTGGAGCCACTCCTGGTGCCACTGGGCCATGTGCCAACAGAAAGCTCCTGGCCACTGGCACAGGTACCCCGACACCTGCTGGTCTCCAAGCCCCCAACCTCGTGGTGACTAATAGAGAAGCCATGGGCTGTTTTGGAAGCTGCTCCCTCGTTCTGATCCTCCCCTCCCGCTGCCCCGCTCCACCCCAGAGGTGGCTGCACATCAGTGATGGGCAAAACTATCCCTATATACTCAGCTTCTACAGCCGATTGGGGCTGCCCCTCTGGCTGAGGGGCCCTCCTTGTGGGTTGGGGGGTTCAGGTGCTCTGGACCAGCTGGTGATGCGGTAAACTCCCCCTGTGCCCTGGTCTCTCCCCGCAGTACTCCACGCACCTGAACCTGGCCGAGCTCTCCAAGCGGCACTTCAAAGGGACGGTGGAGAAGCTGTGCAGCGTGGAGCAGGTGGGTCTGTAGGCAGAGCCTGGCTGGGGGGCAGAGTCTGGCTCATGGTCTCAGCCCGGAGAGAGGGGGTCTCAGACCCGCAGGTTCGCTGGAGCCAGGGTCAGCCCCCCCATGCAGCACCGGGGATGCAGAAGGGGGACATGGGGCTCGGGTTACTCCCTGGGGGCCAGTTGCTCACCCCAGAGGGAGCTGACCCCAGGGAGGAGGGGGCCCTGGCACGGGGTAGGCGAGCTGTGGGTCAAGGGGCCGTCACATCTCCCATCCTGCTGCGGGGGTGGGAGGAAGCAGAGCGGCCTGACCTGGGCCTTGTGTGTGCGCCCCCTCCCCCCACAGGACCTGGCCATGGGAACGGACGTGGACGGGAAGAAGATCAAGGACCCCATGAAGATCATTGTGCCCGTCCTGCTGGACCCCAGCGTGCAGGCCTACGACAAGATCCGCATCATCTTGATCTACATCTTCCTGAAGAATGGTAATGCCACAGGCCTGCAGGGGGGTGCTCCTGGAGGTGGGGCCCAGGCCTGTGGGGCTTGGGGGGAATAGCACTGCTCAGACTGGCACGCCCCCCAGCCATGTAGGGCACCTCCCGGCCAGCCGCTTCCCAGGGCCTGTGTCCAGCCTGGCTCTACGGCCCTGTCTTCCCTCTGCCCACCTCTCGGTGCCTGCGAGCCTGCCGGTGCGCTGTGCCCACGCTCCGCAGTGCCCCCTGGGGTCGGACCTGGCGGCCTTTGCTCCCCGCTGCTGCCTTCCGAGCAGTGTCCACCCTCCATGCTCCCCCAAGCCCGTTCTCTGCAGGGAGGGGGGATGGAGGAACACACCCAGAGCGGCCCCCCGGCCCGTTCTCTGCAGGGAGGGGGGATGGAGAAACACACCCGGAGCAGCCCCCCAGCCCGTTCTCTGCAGGGAGGAGGGACATCCCTCTCTTCCTGCAGGCTGTTCAGATACCATGTTCTGTCTCTGAGCCTCCTGCAACCAGTCCCCTGCCCACCCCTTGTGTCATCCCTGCACCAGCTCCCTGCTTCTTGCTGCATCCAGCCCCTTCCCCAAACTCACCAGGGCCTAGGGAACCTCCCTGACCCTGACACTTGGCACAGTCCCTCTTCCCCCTTCGGTTCCTGCCCCACGCTGGCTTGGTGGGGCAGCACCCTGCTCCGGGGCTCTTCCTGTAACCCTGCTCAGGCACTGCCCCTGGACCCATTGCCCAGGCCAGGGTGCCCTCATGGGGCTCCTCTGGCTGCCCGGCTGCCCAGTTTCCTGGCCAGGGGGTGCTGTGGAGTTGCCAGGCCTCCCCGTTTGCACTAAGCAGCAGTAAATGGTTTGGGGGGGCAGGGGGGCACGTTGCCCTCCCTCCAGCTCAAGGCCTCACAGCCTTAAAGAGCCAAGCCTCAGCTCTGACATTGCACCTGACTGGCCACAGAAGGGGGAGCCCAGATCAGGGGGACGGGGGCTCCCATTGCACTGCCAGGGGGAACTAGAGAGACCCCTGCCCCCAGCGCCCGAGAGAACCTGTTGAGGGAGGAGCAGCAGGAACCTAAATTCGATCAATAACTGTGTGGGGTCCAGTGGGTTAGAGCGGATGGTGCTGGGAGCCAGGACTCCTGGGTTCTGTCCTCAGCTCTGGGAGGGCAGTGGGGTCTAGTGGGGGCTGGGAACCAGGACTCCTGGGTTTGCACTAAGCAGACTGTGTCCAGGCTGTGTCTGTCCAGTCTGCAAAGGGTTAAAGAGAACCCCCCCCCCCTTCTGCCCCCATATCATCCCCCAGCCTTGGGGTGCTGGCCCAGCCCTGGCTCCCTGCACCCTTCCCATCACAGCCTGGCACCCTGGCCTCTTGGCCCTGTCCCCCAGTGGGGACCTCGGCTCCTGAAGGGGGGAGGGGTCCTAGCAGGAGTTGCAGTCAGAGTGCCCAAGTAAGTGGGGGTGGAGCCAGGACTGCGTAGGAGGCGCGTCCAGGGTTGGTCAGCAGCAGGTAGGGTGACCAGATGTCCCGATTTTATAGGGACAGTCCTGATATTTGGAGCTTTTTCTTATCTAGGCTCTTATTACCCCCCACCCCTTGTCCCTATTTTTCACACTTGCTGTCTGGTCACCCTAGCAGCA